ATTCATGCTGGGTCAACATTCAGTGATGGAACAACCATGTTGAAATATTATTTGTAGGGATGCTAGTATCGGTATCGATACAGAGTATTTGGGCGAGTACTCCCCCAAAATCCTCTGATACTTATCTCCGATACCAGAGATCTCCTTCTGACTGGCAGTGCCGAGGGAGCTTGGAACAGTGGGTTATCCTGCCTTCTGGCTTCCTGATTGGCTAAGAAGCCAGCCTCACTTGTTGGTAGGCAGCCTGGCTTCCTAACCAATCAGGAAGCTGGATGGCACGTCATGACTTGCGTCCTGGCTTCCTGATTGGTCAGGAAGCCACGCTGCCTAGCAACAACTGAAGCCAACTTCCTAGGCAATCAGTAAGCCAGGAGGCAGGTCAAGACCCGCCTCCCAGGTTCATGATTGGCTCGGAAGCCAGTTTCACTTGTTGCTAGGCGGCCTGGGTTCCTAACTAATCAGGAAGCTGGGTGGCATGTAATGATCCACTTCCAGGCTTTCTGATTGGTTAGGAAGCCAGGCACCCTTGGCAAGGCAAGCCGGTGTTCTTTCTCTAGAACACCGGCTTCACAGACAATCAGGAAGTTGGGCAATGGGTCATGATCCGCCGCCCAACTTCCTGATAATTGGGGCACACAACACCGGTATAGATATTCGGTATTGGCGAGTACTGAAAAAAAAATATCGGTACTCGTACTCAATACCAAAAAAACGGTATCGGCGGATCCCTAATTATTTGCAGTGTCCAGGCACATAGTTGTGTTGAGAGTCTCAAACTCTATACAGCCTTTGCTACTAAATTGCAGTGAATGGAAATACAAAATAAGTTCTAGCAATCCCCTAAGGCTGGGTTCACAACTGGGCGTGCCTAATAGACGCGTTTTATGCACGTTTTTTTGTCCAATGAAACGCACGTTCGACACGCGTTTTTTAACCTCCCTGGCGGTATGATTTTTTTCTCTTTTTTTCTCTATCTGTTTTTCGTTTTTTTAAAAAAACTTTTAAACTTCCCACCGGTTCCGCCCCCCTGCGACTCGGACGCTCGCAAGGGACGGAACCGGAAGACGGATGCCGGCAGCGGCCAGAGGACACAGCGGGGATCGCGGACAAGGTAAGACCTATGCTGTATTCCCGAGTGTGGCTCGGGGTTACCGCTTTGATACAGAAAATTAACCCCGAGCCACGCTCGGGAATACCAATGGATACGCGCTGAAATCTGCCCCTACGCGCAAAAAAGAAGCTCAAGTACTTTTTCGCGTGTTGGGCGTTTTTCAGCATGACAAAACGGGCTGAAATATGCCCAGGTGGGAACCATGCCCACAGGGATTAATAGGATTTCACTTCTTGAGCGTTTTTCAGCGCTTTGATCAGCCTAAAAGATGAACCTCACTTGCTCACTTGCATGTGTTAGGCCAAACAATCCTGACTAAACTGCACCTACAAGTGCTTATAAAACCAACCCTCTCAAAATCTATGGGCAAATTGCCTGTACTGTATTTATCATAAGTATAGAATGCTTCAAATGTTAAAAGCATTAACGAAGCGATACAGGTATTTACACAGTTCATCAGTTTAGCAGCAATAAATAATATAATAAAATTCATCAGTTCATCAGCAATAAAACATGTATGATATTCTATTTTTATTTCTTGCCACATCTTTTCAAAAGTTTGCTATTGTGCATAGATGCATACTCGCAATATAGAAATGAATTCTAAATTCATTGTTAAATCACACTTCTAGTACAACACTCCTGGATTAGGTGTTACATTCTTTTATGTAGCATGGTGATGATGTTACTTAGATACCAATGGCTACTTGGATCTTAGCATTCATCAACTGAAAATAATAAGTTACTTTTTCACTTATATAGATTTCCTTTCCATTTGCATTGAACTAACCTAAGTACACTCTCAACTGAATCCTGTAAAGGCATTATTCATTTGCTGATGATTTATTTGTCACTGTATTTACTTTTGCCTCTGTTTTTATTTTACTGATCCATCTTTAAACCTGTTCCATGAAACAGATTATAATACTTTCCTGGAAAATGTGATACTGCCAGTTAGGGCAATAAAATAATCAACTTTGTATGTAGTAGCTATAAATAACGGTGAGACTTCATGTATCTATCTGTTATTTGTAACAATAAACACAGAATTTAAAAAAATTAAAAATAACGGTGAGAAAACCCATTTGCAAAAATCCAGATTTGACCCAGATTGCATTGTTTTTTTTAAAGCATCTATTCATGGAGTGTTGTTAGCTTCTCACAAAATGTTTACACCATTTTAAAGCCCAGCTGAAGCCTCCTTATATACAGTATTTCTGTATTGCAGTCAGGTTGCATATGCTGTAATAATACACTCTGCTTTCTGTGTATATTTACATACCTGATACTGTGCTGGCAGAATGTCGGAGAGCCTGACTGCTGCTATGCCCCAGAAGAAGACCCATCGATCTCCCTGAGCAACGGCGTTCATTGGAGCAGTGTGTGGGGAGAGTGTCGAACACTGGAGACCAGGTGCACTGCTTGGGTGGCCCTGACAAAGCTGGTTGGATGGCCAGTGAAACATCTTCAAGAAAAATACAGAAAGTCCAGTTGCCTTGACTTATTTTTTACAGATATGTGACCTGGATGAATGAGAACCTTCACAGACATATTGCTATAGAGAATCGAATCTCACTGGCCCCCCAACCCCCCTGGCATTCTCTTCACTAAAGTAGCTAACACTCTAATGTCCCCGTACAGTCACACACTATTATTATACATTTATATAGATCTGACATATAACGCAGTGCTGTACAGAGGACTAAAAATCCCAGCAATACATCCCCCGCCTCTTCCGTCTCGGGGGCCACTCGACATATTTTTTTTTCTCATGGGGGCCGTCTGCCACATTTCATACTTTAAAAAAAATATATATAACCAGTTTATATATCCAGTTTAAGTAGTACAGACACGAATACACACACAATAAGGTCCTAATGCCGTTCTGTAGCTTCAGCGGCCGGGAGGAGAGAGAGAGCTATTCGCACTGACCGCCAATGTAACGAAAGCGTTCACAATGGCCGCCAATGTGACAAAGGTATACACCATACACATGCTTAAACTTACCTTGTTCTTGCAGTCTTCATGCAGTTTTTTTCTTATTTAGCAGGGGAGGATGGAGGGGGGCGACGGCATTGATTTGCATATGAATTACCTTCAGGAAGAAAGATTCAGGATTGCCTGGTTTTATTGGACTGAATTCAGGCATTCACCAGTATACACCAATATACTGCTCATACTGGGGCAGACTTCTCCCAGATCATAATACTTCCCATAGCCTAAGAAGCCTGACTGAGGACAACATTTGTCAGAGTTCTGATATACATACTTTATTTAATACCATTTGTAGAATAAAAAGCTTGTGCATATGTCATTGTGACTGTATTTCATACATGTCTAAGTAAATAAAGAATTTATATACAATAAAAAAAATGATGGAGCACCTTCTTCTAATTGTGCTCGCTGATGCCTCCTGTCTGCCGATAATGCAGAGCCATGCCACAGCCAAGAAGGATCCCGACAATATTGTCAGGATCCACCTGGCTGTCTAAGTGACAGCTGGCTCTGCCTCTCTAGAGTCAGAGCCAGCTGTGGCTGCCCCTCCCCTGCCTGTCCCTCCAATGAGCACTGGAGTGACAACCAGTGATACACAGGTCACTGGTTGTCCTGCCCAGCTCCTGACAACCAGTGATACACAGGTCACTGGTTGTCAGGAGCTGGGCAGGATGCCAAGGGCACAGTTTGCTGTAGATATGCCTCTGTTGAGGGCTCACATGACTGCCGATCGCTAAGCTATCAGACTCTTTCGCAGTGTTGCCTACTCCGATCTATGTTCCTCCAGTGCTCATTGGAGGGACAGGCAGGGGAGGGGCAGGCACAGCTGGCTCTGACTCTAGAGAGGTAGAGCCAGCTGTCACTTAGACAGTCAGGTGGATCCTGACAATATTGTCGGGATCCATCACTGTTGCCTGTTTAGTGGTAGGCCAACAAGGAGGGAGTTACAGTAGTCCAGGCGAGATATTACAAGGGAGTGAATTAGAAGCTTTCATTTGTTAAAAAGGGACAGATTTGGAAATGTCACGGAGGTTGAGTCGGAAAGATTTGGATAGTGGGGCTGAAAGGAAAGCTCAGAATCAAGGACTACACCGAGCACCCTGGCTTGATGCGAGGGCCTGATTGTAGTGCTGGTTATTGTGATGGAGAAGTTGGGTAGGGAACACAGGAAAGAAGGAAATATTAAAAGCTCAGTTTTGGACAGATTTAGTTTGATGAAGTGGTGTGACATCCATGTTGATATGTTAGTGAGTAGACTAGTGATGTGTGATGAGATAGAAGGGGTGAGTTGAGAAATGGAGAGATATATTTTACGTATGTATTGTTTACTTCCCTGCACTTCTCCTATAAAATCCATTTAAAACTACCCAGGGTGACAACGCTGCAGTGATTTCACTGCAGAACGGACATCGTTGTCACCCTGTTAAAAGTGGAATAATCAACAGATCTACTTGCAGGATCGACGGGTAACACAGCTATGTTTGCTGTAATTATTCTAGGCACAGTCTGCACCTTTTATAACCCTCTTGGCTAATAGGAAGGGCTCCAGCGATGAAGATACTGGTAGCTGTGGAATGATGATGAGAGGCACATTCCATGTGAAGGATGCAGAGCATTGTCGGTCAGTTGCTGTCACCTGACGTCAAGTGTGATGAGATGGATGCTCGCAGCCTCCTCCTCTGGCACATCCCTTTACACGCCTGTGGGGCTGGAGATAGCGGATCGTTACAGGTACGGTATTGGTAGCCGGATGCTGAGGGGTCCACCTTCAGGTGAGAGATGCTCCGCTGTGGGACCGATCGCGGGGGAGTCAGGGGAAGATGACCGATGCTAGCAAGGGGAGATCTCTGCTGCATTGGATCTCTGCTGCCAGCGGGGGGTTCACCCCGTCTCCAGGGATGGACGATCACCCGTGTGTGAACGGCAGCACCAACTGCTCGTCGGGCTCGTACTCGGCCGTGGACGGGGCGGCGGACACCATCCCCCGGTACATCGGGCTCTTCTTCATGCTGCTGCTGGACCTGGCCGCCGTGCTGGGGAACGTGGCGGTGGCCGCTGTCATCCTGAAGACGCCCCAGCTCCGGAAATTCCTGTTCGTCGTGCACCTGTGTATTATAGACACGTTAGCTGCCATGACGGTCATGCCGCTGGGGATGGTGGCCAGCTCGGGCAAGGTGGCGTTCGGGGAGACCCTGTGCCAAGCCTACATCTCCTTGGAGGTCTGCTTCAGCAGCGCGTCCATCCTCACCGTGTCTGCCATCAACATCGAACGCTATTATTACATCGTGCATCCCATGAGATACGAAGTCAAGATGACCTTGGGTCTGGCCATCTCGGTCCTCATCTTCATCTGGCTGCAGGCGTCATTAACGTCCACGGTGCCCTTCCTGCCATCGGCCGGCACTGGCTCCAACAATGCCAGCCTGGTGAACGCCACTCAATGCTCCTTGCAGAGGAATGCTGGGGGACACAAGAAAGTCTTCGTGACGTTCTTCGTCTTGGTGTATTTTGTGTTGCCTCTTGTCATCATAGTGACTGTCTACTGCAATGTCTTCAAAGTGGCAAGGATAGCTGCCATGCAGCATGGACCTCTACCCTCCTGGGCAGCAAGTCCTCGCCCCAGGTCCAATTCCACTGGCAGCAGAACCAACATCATGCCAGGGAACAGGTCCCATAGAGGCTCACCAGACAGGACGTTAGGGGGGGCGAAAGCAGCCTTCACCCTCATGATCATCGGTGGACAGTTTGTCATGTGCTGGTTCCCCTATTTTGTGTATCATGTGCAAAATGCCCTGGAGAGCAACTCTTACAAAGCATCTGGAGGCAAGTGGGAGAACATAGTCAAATGGCTGGCCTACACCTCATTCACAGTCAATCCCTTCTTTTATGGCTGTCTCAACAGGCAGATTCGAACTGAACTTGCCAGGATCCCCAAATGTTTCTTGAAGCAGTCTTTGGATGAACAGTTAGGCCTCTCTAGCCATGAGGGGTCTGTAGAGGAGAACTTTCTTCAGTTCCTTCAAAGAACTAGCTGTGTGGTGGACAGAAGAAACAGCTTCCCCACCTCTACTGCTTCTAGGCTGCTTGTCAATCAAAGTACTTTAAGTTTTCGAATCCCAGGGCAAATTCTGGAAGAAACCCCAGAGCTGATGGAGCAAGATTCGTCGGAGGGGTTCAAAAGTATACAGATGTGTACTAGGCAAGGAAACAGCCTAGCACCAACAAAGTGAACCCAACCTCTTGGTGACTTTTAATATTTAGAATTGATTGATCATTTGGCCAAATGTGTCCCATGTTGAAATGAATAGGCTTATTAATTGACATAAAGAGCAGTGTGCAAAGTGCAGCATCCATAGTACCTAACCAAAAATAATATTTGACAATGTTACTGCAGTAAACTGATGGTAACCAACAACTATTCGGTTGTTACAGGTGACCACACTTTCACATTATTGTTACTCTTTATTGACTAAGCTCAAGGCCCTAAGCCTATAGTATTAAATAGGGGCTTTATTGTCCTATTTCTAAAGGGAAAAACCTCATGGTATTACAATCTGTTTACTATCAAGGCACAAGCACTTTTCTAGCAATGAGGGACTGATGGGTAAACGAACAGCTTCATGGCATGGAGTCGGGTTTAGAGTCATTTATGTTGTGAGAGTTTTATTTTAGATCTATGATCTGTCTAACAGCAAATTAATTTTAGATAAGGAATGTGATTGTCCTAATTTCCAAATCTGTATACAGAATCCTCTGATTGTTACGTTTTGCGTGTTAATAGTAATGATTTACCAGATTTTACACAGACAATATGAATCACCTTTGTGCAATTGTGAAATGCATATGAGCGGTTATGCTCCTTTGCATGCTTTTAATAGGTATGAAGCACAACATAGCAATAAATAATTGCAAACGCTACAACTTAACTGCTGTGTTGTTTTTTATGTTTCAAGTTTGATCATTTAAATTATACTTGAAAGCGATCAGTCAACACTAAAATATTTTTGACCTTATAGCTCTGCAAACTATTACCACTTAGTAGTAGCTACACAACATCATCGAAAGACATGAAGGATCAGCTCAAATTGACAGTAATATATTAAAGTGACATTAAAAATTACATCTTAAAAAAGCATTTAAGTACTATAACTTTTAACAAAAATGTATCTTATTTGTGTATCACTCGGCTGTACATCCTCAAATCATCTCTGAATCCATCCTGACACTGTCATTCCTTCTGGAGGGTGGCTACTTTTGTTCCCAATGGTCCCGGTGTGTGTTTTTAAGTAGTCCCTGCTCCCGTGATGGACTACAATCTCATATTTAGTTTACTAATTTGTATTGAGATTGTAGTACATAATGGCAGCGAGCTTGGAGTGGTGGCTACTTTACATCACCACACACAGGGACCATGGGGAATAAAAGTAGCCACCCTCCAGAAAGAAGGATAGTGTCAGCACCAATTTAGAGATGATTTGAGGATCTACAGCCGGCCGGGTGATACACAAATAAGATACATTTTTGTTACTAGTTAAGGTACTTGAATGTATTTTTAAGAATAAACTCCTGAGTGTCACTTTAAGCACGAGTTCAGCAGGAAACACAAATACTATTTATAGATCCAATCACAAGAGTCCTGAGGCTGCACTACATATTGCAGGAATATCCTATTTGTTTGGGATCACTGTAAAAAGGAACAACAATGGAAGCCTCCAGCAACTGGAGTTCACAGGTGATCTATCATGTAGCAATTGGTCAGACCTGACACTGTTTGGCTTCCATGATCCGACCAGTGGCTACACTGAATAGAAGGCACCTGTACTTGCCAGATCTTGGAACCTAACCAAAGTCGGTGGTCAATGGCTACCGTAAAGACCACTTGTGAGCCCCAGATATAAAGCAGACTATCATTTTAATGACTTTTTGCTGCTTTCCAAAGTAAATTATATACCCTGGCAATATGAAATGATGCCCCAGAACACTTCTTCTGCTACAATAGCCACACAGATCACAAAGGATAGTATAATAGTGTAATGTTGCTCAACTTTAATATATTATGTACCTTTTACAGTGCCACCCTAATTTCCTCTTTGTGTGGTTTTAGTTATTTCACGAACCCTTGTAGCATGTGGAAATGTATGTATGTACCCCTGATAATCACATAAATCTCTTGTATAACAGATTTTTTGGTTTTTGCTAAATCTTTAAGCTTTTATTTTAAAGCAGAACTACGGGCAAAAGTGTTCTTAACCCTTGTAGTGGGGCTACCCCTGCAGTGCAAGGGGTTAAGTGCTCATTTTTGTCTAGGTGCTAAAAAAAAAAAGTTATACGCTCCTGATCCTTGGAGCTGGCTTGACTGGTCCCTGAAGTCTCTCTCCCCTTCTGCTGCTGTGGTATAAGGATCCTCGAGTTATCACATTGTATGCACTGTGTATAGGATGTGAGGACACATATCATGCCTGCAGCAGAAGAGGAGACAGGCTTCAAGGACCAGAGTAACAGCCAGTCGTCTCCGTGGTTCAGGTGAGTATACCTTTTTTAAGGCACCTAGACAAAAGCGAGCACTTAACACTTGCAGGAGTGGGGTAGCCCCACTGCAAGGGTTAAGAACATTTGTGCCTGGAGTTCTGCTTTAATGTAATTTTCCAGACAGAAGTACCTCCTACATTTTTCATAAGTATCCTCAGGATTAGATGTACCACTGTTTAGGAAGCACAGATGTCAGAGAGCGCCACAGCATATTTTATTATATAGATGTTTGTTATAATCAATATCTCAAAGCAAACAGATTGGCTGCTATTGGCAAAAATTTGACGGCCCTTTCATACCTGCATGTGCTGAAGGCATTGTGCTTGCTCTATGTGCGTTGTGGTGCCATCCATTGTAAATGGCACTGCAACGCATTGAACAGTAGTAGAGCCCAATGCATCTTAGCGCACCATAATGCATATACCATATATAAAAGACTCATATACATTTTTTGTATCTGTTGCAATGCGTTGGCAGGCCTTTCATAATGAATGGGCTGCCCTAACTCAGTGCATGTTAACGTGCCATAACGTGCATACCATAATCCACCACAACAGAAAGCTAAAATGTGAAAAGGCCCAGAGTGTATATATATCAGTCCCTTTCAGGTTAGAAAAAGTTACATTCATAATGCACCGTTTCTTTTAACAGACGTTAATTAATTTCTTAGCTCATTGCTAAGTTGTCAGGACAACGTCACCTTTCTTTATAACTATATTTACTTATAATTATGCTTATAACTGACACAACCACAGCACAAATATTGGTTTATTGGTTAAAGTGCTAGGAAAGTCCATTTAAACTACACAATTATCATATAATCATGCTAACATGCAGTTAAAGCCCAGCCAAAACTTTTTTCATTTGGAGAAGAATGGATAGTTAATGAGGGAAATCTCTCTAATGGAGTCCCATATTGTATTAAAGTGGACCTTTAGGCCTTGTTCACACCAAATGCAGACCAGATCCGGTCAGGTTTCTGCACACGCAGTGCAGTGGGTTGTGACGTGTTTTGGACGCGTTTAGGGCCGGTTTTGGTAAAAAATGTAAAAAAAAAAAAAAAGTTTAACATGGGCTTTCAGGCACTTGCATGCGTTTTTGATGCGTTTTTGCATTTTTGATGCGTTTTTGATGCGTTCCAGAGCAGGTAAAATAGGGCTTGCCGCAGTTTTTTCACCTGCTCTGGATCTGGTCTGGATCTGCACGCTGCGATGTGAACTGGAGGTCAAAATACCATAGGAATACATTGGACGCAGTTTTGATCCGGTCTGCACCTGCTCTGGTCTGGATCTGCTCCGCGCTTGGTGTGAACAAGCCCTTACCCATATCTTTAAAACAACAACAAACATACCTTTAGAAATGTTCAGTAATGGCAATCTACAAACACATACTTCTAGATAATCGCCGGCTTTGTATTCTTTACATTCCTTATTTCTCTTTTCTTCCCCAGTCTTCTGATAGTGGCCATGTTTGCTATGGGCAGATTACTAGCTCTTTTACTTCCTGGATTTATGGCACATGTGACTAGGACATGTGACCATGCACATCATCTAAGGGGAGGAAAATGCCTTTCCCTGAGATCTTGTGAGATTACAGATGAGATTTACCAGCAATGCTGCGCTGATAACCTTCCCAGTGTGCATTGCGTTGGCAAACTGAAGTCATTTTGCCCTTTCAAAGCAGGAAGTGAATGCTCTGCAAGTGTAAGTATTTCACAATCACAGCATTTTACACCTGACATGTCTATGTTATTATTAATCATCATACATAGAGGGATGCATTGGTAGAATTTGATTTTTGAGTGTAAAGGTCCACTATAAATCCCAAAAAGGTGTTCTAATTAATCTCCACTCAATTTTTGGCTAAACATACCATGGATTTATGTTTTGAAACATATTAACTTAAAAAAGAATGAATATACAGCACTGAACTTTGTATTCCTTTGCTTACTCGTTTAAACTGACACTAAACTAAAAATACATTCAAGTACCTTAACTATTAACAAAAATGTATCTTATTTGTGTATCACTCAGCTGTAGATCCTCCAATCATCTCTGAATTGGTGCTGACACTGTCCTTCCTTCTGGAGGGTGGCTACTTTTGTTCCCCATGGTCCCCGTGTGTGCTGTAAAGTAGCCTCCACTCCAACCTGGCTTCCTGATTGGTCGGGAAGATGGCCAATCAGAAAGACGGGTGGCGTCATTACCCGCCGCCCTGATTGGCCAGAAAGCCGGCTCCATGCTTCCTCGTCACCTGGCAATGAGGGAGCATGGATCTGGCTTCCTGGCTAATCAGAAAGCTTGGCAGCGAGTCATTACACGCCACTGGCTTCCTGGCTTATCAGCAAGCTGGGCCACAAGTCACTACATGCTGCCTGGTTTCCTTAATGGGACTACTGGTATTGGTGAGTACTCGATAGCGAAAAACCGGTACATCCCTACAAACAATGATATGCAAGTTTGATATGCGAGTGGGGCCAAACTTCAACATGTTTCGCACTACATGTGCTTCATCAGGAAGGCTGGAGGTAATCTTCTGTTCACACCCAAAACTGGGTAACTTTCTCTAAAGGGCAGTTT